ACGTTGAGACGACGAGAATATATATATATATATATATATATATATATATATACACGCGGCTAGGGCGGTATCGTCGGCAGAGAAAACTGGAGGAAAGGAGGAGTGGTCACGATCCGCCAGCGAGATTGATTTAAAAAAGAAATTTCTCTTATTCTCCTTCCTCCTGTATTTCCTTGGACGCAGTTGGTAGTGATCTTGCAAAAAGTTGTGGCAACGTGGCGACGCTTAATCCACCATCAGTTCGAAGTGTACCGAGCCACGCCTCTCGAATCTGTCGTGGATGATGTTGTGCGCCCAAGCTTTGCACTCGATGTTGATCAACACACCGTCTGTCAAATCAACGACAATTGAAAATATATATACCATTCTCAAATACAATTGCACGAAGATTTCGTCGATACTTCTCTTAGTGATACATACTGATGTTAAGGGTTTTAATAATTTACCTACAACACCGTATAAAAGTATCATTCAATCGAATATTTCGAACGTGAACGATGCTAAATGCTAAAAAAAATTTCTATCACTTTGGCTTTGAACTCGATCGCTAAGGGTTGAGTGCCAAGCTTGACTGAGTGATCGAGAGACAACTTACATTTAGGCCTCTCGAAGAAGACAGCTACGAGGGGACTAAGGTATCCAGGGGTATTTGTGAAAGGGAAGTAGTATCCAGGGAAACCACGGCGTGGAATGTATTGGATAGCGCCCATGTTCTCAACGTCCGCAGGATTTTCACCGGAGCATGACACCCACACGGTATCCAATCTGTTGGCGTGTTCCTCTTGTTTGATGTGCTCCTGAAGATCGGATGGCATGGTATTCGGCAGGTTTTTCGTGTCATTGTAATATTCCGGTTTCCAGCCGAATATCTGCAAGCATCGACAACGAATTCGTTTTCGATGAATCATCTCGATCGATACGACTCGTTTAGAAAAAGTATCGCGACAAACAATGTTCATGTTTGCACCTTGTTCAATTTGAGGAAGATGCAAGGGGCAGACTTGTTGTAACCGTATTTGTTCTTCTTCGTGCACTGTCCCCACGTGGTCATGTCCACGTCGCAAACTTTGCCGGGTGCCGGTGGTTTGCCATAATCGCACAGCATCCTCTTCTGGGCGCCATTCGCCGAGGTAGCAGGTTTCTGGTATTCTAAAGAAAATTAGAAAAATTACTCGTGCAGTTGTGTAAAGTCCAAAGAAATATCCACAAAGTTCTTCTAAAACACTGTTAATTTCTATTGGCGAAAGAATTATGAAGAATTGTTATAAATAATTTTCATTAAAGAGTAATTTCTAATTATTGTAGAGATACAATTTAATCATGTTTATTATATTAATAAAGTAATAAAGAGAACGGAAACAAAACAATAAATAATAAAAGCAAGACAGACAACAATAATTCGAATAAACTCAAACGACACTGTTGATGAAAATGATCACTCGCTGTTTTACAACTCGCACGACTCTCTCCTTTTTCAAAATAAAAGTAACTAAAACTATAACTATACGTTGTAATAATTTCTATTATAATACTACATTATTATTCCCCCCTCCCCCTATATTTACATTCCTATGTACTTATACAATGTAGAAATAGAAATGGAGGAAAAAAAAGCATTGAAACTTTGATCCAAAGATTGGTCTCACCTTGACCGGATTTAACGTGTTCCTGACGTAACTGGCTCGTTAGGACAAAGACTATTTTCTCGCTTATCGGTTAATATTAGCGTCGTAATGTCTCTATGGCAATAATATTCCGCTCAACAACATCTGTGTTATTCCAGTGTTCATTTTATTAATGCGTGGCATCTTCGCATTGTAATCGATTTTCAACCGATATTTCAAAAGCACGACTCTTTCGGATTTGCAGGAATATCTTTTTTCTTTTTTTTTTCAACGTTTTGTACGATTCGTATGGTACAATTTAATGTTAGAAAAAAAATTCTGAATAATGTTGAAAGAATGTTGAAATAAAATTGTTGAACATGTTCACGTATTACCTTCAAGGAACTTATCCAATTCTCTGGTCCAATGTAAGAAGTTGCCTTCGTCGCTGGCTTTGTACCAAATCAAGGTACTTTCGACGTTGCTTGAAGGAGGCATGGGCCTGAAACCAAGTCCCGGATTGCTCCCGATCAAGGAATTGTCCAGTTGCCATTTCGGTGCGTTCGGGTCTAACGTCTGGTAAAAAACGGTCAACATCGCTCCGAAGAAGCCAGCCAGCACCGCATAAAAAATAACGTAGAATAACAAGATTTTCGCTGCAAATCAAGAAAAGAGAAAGGGATTGTCAATTTTCTTCTTTAAATTATCATTTCAATTATTATCAATTACGCAAACATTGGCACGATATATTTTCAAGAACGTAGGAAAGCAGTACGTATGTACAGAAAAAAAAAAAAAATCTCTGAAACGAATTGGAAAAAGCCACGTTTTTTTTTTGTTGGTAATAATTCCTTTTGTAGATACATGCACAGCAACTGAAGTCTACAACATTGAAACAATTATGATGCGAGATCTAATTGGCCTGAATTGGTATTGAGTAAGTGATGCTGCCAGTTTACAATAAGAATCATTGATGAACATTTATTTCGAGCGATTTGTCTTCAGTGGCAATCATAACGCGTTATTGATACTCGCGTTTGATTGATGAAAGGTGCATCTAAGTTAATCTGCCAGTTATTAAATAATGTAATTTCACTCGAATGACTTCACCGTGTATCGAATATCTATTTTATATATGGGCTGTTCAACGATTAATTAAGCAGTATCACTATTTTTGTAATAACCAACCAACACTGAGGTTGTTTAATTTAGAATACTCGACAACAGGCTCAAGTATAGTCAAAGTCCCATTTGGCACTACACCAAATTTCGTTGCAAAACCCCGAAACCATTATTCCCGATATTTTCACAACTCACTGATCTTATAATATTTATCTTTTTAAAGTCCAACATCGCAGGGATAAAAGTGAGTTTCACGTGAAGACGATTACGTACGTAATGTAAGATTTTGACCTTGTACCCGCTCTACATATTATAACATCAATACGCTTGCATACGATTTTGATCTACAATAAAACTCATCTTCTCACTTATAAAATGATTAAATATTTTTCATTTTCCTTTATCGCGCGAACATCTCCAGAAAATAGTGGAATTTAAATGATAGAACTTCGTTCCATCGTGTAAGGAAACCAGAGTAGGTTATTGATCCCTGTGGAAACATGGCTCCCTACATTCTAACCAACATCACTGCGTTAATAACATTGATTTTATTTTACCCCCCCTTTGTTCATTTTATAACATCGGTTCTTTGACAAACATATCTTATTATCAAGTAATTTAATAAAGCTCTTCGAATTCTTCTTCAGTCTGTCAATTAGCAAAATATTCAACTTGTCAAAGAACTCTAATCTTTCTATTTGCGTTATACGATTATTGCGTTATACTATATATTGCGAGATTATTAACAGGATTATTACAAGCAGCAACAAAAAAAAAAAAA